ATGCAAACTAAGGCACTTGAGCACATATTTCTGCCACTTTGAAAATACCACCTGAAACTTTACGTGAAACACTCTTAGATGAAGCCACAATATAAATTTAATTGAAAATGTTGCACTCATATTTTGGTCCAAAAATGGATATTTTTTTAAATATGTGTATGTTTTTGGTGGATATAAAAACTTACAAAAAAGACTGCTCCGTTTTTTTACAAATGTTTTTAAGACAACACAATGGATTATTTGATATTGGAGAAATTGAAATAAATAATTTTAAAAATTATTTTGGGTATTTTTCAAAAATTAAACTAATAAAAATTATTTTTTTAGTTCGGTTAAGTATCAATTTAAAACAAATTGAAGGGGTGGATGGCTGCAGCCCCAGGGGTTGCATAGTGAATACCATTTTTGTGGCAATACTTTTGAGAAATTGCTCGTTTTTAAATAGATACCATGTTCCTATAATATAATAGGTAAGTATTTTTAAATTTAGTTACTAATGCTTTTTAAAAAACATATGGAAAATTAAAATAATTACATAAATTAATACATTAATAAAACTGCATAATAGTAGACCAACTGTACAATTTTTATTAAAATAAAACAAAAATGTATCATGCAAATTCAAAGTTCATTAGTTCATTTTAATTGATTTTATTTATTCGCAAAAGCTTCCCAATTTTTATAATATTTAAATTAATTAGTGCTATTAAACTGATTTAATATAATAATATTAATAGTAATAATTATTATAATCTTTGAATATAAACAATTCTATGAATAAATTGTGGTTTAAATGTAATTGAGAAAAATAACGTCTTTATTTTTATAATTATTATAAAAATAAAGACGTTATAACATGAATACATGAATTGAAAATAATTTTGACGTAAACGGCAATAATTTTGATTAAAACATGAAAAATAAATCTCGCAACTACTGCTTGACTTTTTGCAAAATTATTGCTTATTATTGTGTGGAAAATCATCTATAAAGTTAAACTTATTAAATTAAAATAAATTTATTAAAAAGAGCATATTCATATTAAGATAAAATGTGAATTATTAATTCTGCCGTGCTTAATGAAAACGCCGTAACCAACAATTTTGCGATTTTTGTTTTACGGCATTTTCTTCTAGAACAATTCATCCTGTGTCTATCCCCGGTACTAAAAAAACCGTATATATATAGATACGGTTTTTTGAGTACCGGGGATAGACGCAGGATGAATTGTTCTAGTAGAAAATGCCGTAAAACAAAAATGGCAAAATTGTTGGTTACGGCATTTTCATTAAGCACGGCAGAATTCCCAAACTACACTTATATATATATATAGATATGAATGGTTACAAAAAAGACTCTCAGCACGGCTGTCCACTATTAATACTGCCACTTTTTTTCTAATATACTTTGGGCTGCTAAATCCAAAAATCACAATAAATTTTTTTAGGTTTTGGTTTTCGAAATTTAAATTTTTAATTTTTTTAATGGTTCAATTTTTCAATGGTTTTTCGAGTGCAGCTTTACATTTTGGGACATATCTCGAGTTAGAAACGGCCAACCTGGTTGCAAAAAGTGTCAAACTAAACATAATAGAATCGCCGACAATTTCACTTTCTTAATGCCCAATCAGTAAAGAAGTTTAAGTGCAATGAGCTCGAATATTAAAAATGAAAACAGTTTTATCAACCAAAGAAATTGGCATATTGACTACATTGACATCACACCGTCAAAATTTAACCAAAAAAATCTCAGTAATTAATATACAAAAAATTCCTGGAACAGAATTGTAAATTCATTGCATAAAGTTAAATTTTACTGCTTGTACATAAACGGTTGTTAATACCTTGTTTTCTTCGCAAAACTCTGCTCATATTTCATATTTCCGATTTTTATTTATTTTTTGACAAAAGTTGCATTCATATTTTGGTCCAAAAATGTATATTTTTTAAATATTCCAGCCCATTGCACTTAAACTAGCCAACTGCATTAGAAGATATTTGTCGGCGATTCGATTATGTTTAATTTGACTGATTTTGCAACCATATTGACCACTTTTAACTCAAATTATAAAGATATCTTCGAAAAAAAAAAGAAAAAAAATATACCTACAAAATAATATCTCGAAAACCTTGCCATATTTTTTTTATTGTGATTTTTGAGTTTGACAGGCCAAATCAAATAACAAAATGGAGGCAACAAATGTACATTTCTTTTTTATTAATTTTTAAACCAGTGTTATTGGTTAATTATTTTCATTGTGCCTAACAGCTAAACATTAAATTAAAGAACGTTCAAAAGGTGTGTCAATTAACGGTAATCAGATACACGGTTTTTCCAATAATGTATTAGGAAATGTTCGTATAAATAAATGTATTTTTTTAGATATAAGGCTTTTACGGCCGTAATTTATAAAGAAAACTTTATTTTTGGGATTAGACCGTGTTTGCGATTGTTAGTTGTTGTACCGTAACTGACCTGTATCATTGAAATCCATTAATTTTTCTTTATAATAAGACAAACATGACATGACTACATTCATTAATAGTGAAAATTACATTTATTCAGAACACACATTTAGGTTACATTGATCACATTATTTTGAGTTTTGGAAAATCTTTACCGGGAAATACAACATTGCTTCTTTCGTTTTAACGCTGGCTCATCTGCAGTATCAGTAATATATTTCATTGCTTCATTGTGGTTCTTAGTAAAACCCTTTCTTGCCACGTCTCTGAATATGCGGCTTTACCAATAACGTTGATATTTCACGAAGAAATATTTTTTTTAAGAATATTTTTTTTATTTTATTTCAAGTGGAGTATACATAAATTCAAATTATTAGTGATGCAATCCCAACAACATCAAGAAGATGTTAAAAAAAGCTATTAGCCACCAGTTTGTTTTGCGTCGAGCTGTATATTCATATGCCATTTGGACTAGTGTATCTACACCGCCTTTACACTGTTTAAAATATCTGCGGTGTAAAAAGTAATCCTAAAATGGTGTCAAAATCCAACACCAAGGTGTTAATATAACACCATGAATTAGGGTTGAAAATGAACACCAAAACGGTGTTTATCTAAAAATATTTGAGAAGTGCACCTACCCAGAAAAAAAGGAATAGTTCATTTAACCCAGTTGACCCATAAGTATTTATATTTTTGTGGATCACGTGATGTTCTTAAATCTCGCCTCTGTTGACTTACATGAAGAATATATAAACATAGGTAATCCTTTGCTTTGGTGTGACACTACAAGTTGTTCGATACTAAAGAGACCTTAAATAGGTGGAAACAGCTGTCAATACTTGAAGTATTTTAAGTTAGTGGAACGCACTAAAAACATTATCTCTAGCGAGTTGAAGGTTTCATTTTCTGGAATAATACCACTGGTAATATACTAGTAATGCGTCAAGGAACTTCCTGTTTCCTTTTTTTTCCTTTTTTCTGTGTAGTATGATAATTTGACCACAAACACATAATATTTAACACTGAAAAGGAGTTCAATTTACACCAGGTAAAATTTATTTTAATACTGTGTGAAAGTTAAATTAACACCATTTTAGTATTTGAATTTACACCGCCAACGAACCTTATTTACCACCATTTTAGTATTTGAATTGACACCGGACCAACGAACCTTATTTAACACCATTTTGGTTTGTATCGATATAGACCACGTATGGTGTTAATTTGGTGTTAAATTGGTCATGAAATTTTGAACAGTGTAGTTACGTTAAAATAAAGATTTATTTCCTTTTTTTGATAAACCGACCCTTACTATCGCAAAATGCACCACATATTTATGCCCTACTTGTCAGGTTTATTTGGCGTTTGAATGATACCCTTCCCCTCTGGGAATCAACTGTTCGTCATTTGTCAGATTCTATCCAGGAGAGTTAAACATTGTAAAATAAATGTTGCTAATATACATATGTATGTATATTTAAAACAACATTGCAATGATTTTTCATTTGAAAATTGTTTTAAAATTTTAAATAAAAAATTGAGAGAAACTTTTTAATTACTTTTATATAACATTTCAAATTAAATGTTACCAATGTTTTACCCCTATTGCATATTATTGACGTTATTAGGGTTTTTTTCGTATATTATTGTAACCAATATAACCGTGCCGCCTAACAACGGGAATAATGAACTCATTATCCACGTTGTTGGGCATCAGTGATTGGCTGGTTTCAACATTCACTATGATTTGGACCAATCGCGTTTTAGATTGGGATAAAGTGAGGTTGGAATTTTTTAACAGATGTCAGATTTTTTTATATATACGTGGGGGTGACTATGATGATCATTAAAATCGGAGAAAATAAGGTTATAATAAATTTTGTCATCAATGATCAGTATCTACACTCGGGTGATTTACGTCTCTCGCCTAACGGCTCAAGACGCAAACCTTATCCTCGTGAATAATATCCTGCATTATCTCTCGTATAATATAATACTATTTTTGTGTTCTAAATTTTACACAAAAATACATACCTATATTAAATTATTTTTAAGAAATAAGACGAAATTTACTGACAGAAACATTAATTATTAATTATTATTTGTATTATTATTATTTGTATCAAATTCACGTAAAGGAACTTTTGGGTGTGGAAATTATTAGGCAACAGGTTTGGGTGATTTTTTATGAATATATTGAATAAGATTAAATTAAATTCCAGCATTATTTCAACCATTCAATAAAGTATAATTGGTTTTTCTAAACAAAAAAAATAGGCAATGAAAATGTTATAAAAATCAAAAACATTGTTTATTTGTAAGTAAAATAAACCTAATAATTTGATACAAAAATATTAAATTAGAAATTATATTTAAAATTAAATTGCTCAATTAAAACTAGTTATCTTTTAAACAATTTTATATTATTTGTAAATTAAAAAAAAGTAAAGAATAATTGAAAAATGCCATTTCTAATTAAAATATATTATAAAAACCATTTTCAGAGAAGTACTATCGTTAGGTGTGCGTTTGCCACGGGAGGGGGCCAACATTTATATAACATCTATCAGGAAGGACCGACAAGACTCCACTAAAAAAATTAAATCAGGTAAATCAGAACATTGAAACGGTAGTAGTGTGTGAGATGGTTTTCTTTGGTGAATTATGTGCAGCTGCGGTTTTGGGACTGATCGCTATATGGCGATACGTATATAACACTAAAACCAGAGGATTACACAGATACCCAGGACCACCGACACATATTCTTTTTGGAACTATTGTTGACTTTTTTGACCGAAGTAGTAAGTATAATTTTAATACTTTAATAAGTTTAAAACGTGAAAATATTTTCTATGCTTTTGGATTTTTATTTATAAGTAAACATAAAATTTTAAATTTGATTTATAATTAAACCTTTATTCAATATTCCCATTTAATATTAACGCCACGTTAAATTATGCTGATATCAAACTTGATTTTTTAATAAGTGTAACATTTAATTAATTTGATTTATTAGTAATAAAAATAAATCAATACAATACTGAATGAAAGAAATTTTGTTTTATGTATAAGTTGTTACAAAAATAGTATAAATAAAAATATAAACAAATACTTTTTGAGTTATAAGGTTTTTAAAATTAAATGTTATTTATTTAATATTTTAACTAAAACTTAATTATACAAGGTTTTTTATTGTTATTGTTTATTGTAAAATGAACATGTTTTCCTTAAATCGTTCAAATATTAAACTCATTTCTAAGTAAGAAAAACCATGTATAAGAGGAAAAAGTTAATTTTATATAAGTCTCAAAAATAAAAAAGAATAATTTGATAGTAAAAACATTTTTTTTGCCACATATTTTTAGAAAATAAATCTTTCAACTATGTTAACATCAGTTAACTGCAGTGGCATTATTTGAATTTTTTACAACAAACCTTTTTGCTAAAACCTTTTTAGATGCGCCATTTTCGGGACACCCTGTATACTGCCGTGCTCAGCACGGTATTATGAAATAAAGGACAAAAGTAATTATATTTCACTTTATTTTTTTAACAATACATAATATGTATTGTTATATATTATATCGCTTGTCCCTTATTATTTAATAATGTATCTGCCGTTCTTGTAAATCAGGCGGTGGTTCTGGGTCACTCATATTATTATACATATTGTATTGAGAATTTTAATTAAGGGTTTATATTTTTGGTTGGCTTGTTTAATGATAATTAATATTATATAAAAATACAGATAATGATAGTTCCTTATATTTTTTTTAGTAACAATATTATACAAATTAAGAAGTAAGCATAGGTATAGTTAATTAAAATAAAATTAATTTAATAATTATTAGTTTTATTTTTTTATATCTATAAAATGTATAGTTTTAATTTCTTCTTTCATTCAATAATATTATAATTATTTTTATAAAGAGTTTACATTTTTAATAAAAATAATAAATTGTTTTTTTATTATTAAAAAAATAATTGTATATTTGATTAAAAAATAATATGTGTTTTTCATATTCAATAAAACATACCATTGCAATATTAAAAAAATAAATTGATGGAAAGATTGTTTAGGTATCAATTATAATTAAAAAACTCTTAAAAAATATCCTGTATGTTGCGATAAATTATTATTTGTTTTAATTGAATTTGCTTTTAAAACCAAACAAAATCTAATTTAGAAATTATGACAATAAATTTAAGCTAATTGTAATTATAGTGTTGTGTAACTATATAATCATTAAGAAAGTTTAATAGAGGTTGATAATTTTTATTTAAATAAACTTATGCAAACATAGAGCTTAAAAAAATAGAGTGGTAACTTCTCACCAAAAATACATTTTTATTTTAAAATAGGAATGTTAATAAACTCATCAAAACCCATACCACCAAATGTTAAAATATTAGGCCCCATAGGGAAAATGACAAAAAATACATTACGATACTTTTACGCTAAAATTATATAGGGGACGTTTTATGGATTCTAAACCTTTAAACTTCTTTATTCGTACAAAATACAAGGTGGAAAAATGGACTTAAATGGATAATAAACGCTTTTTAAATTTCTAATCGATATCTTTTTTTAGTACCTACCCCATAAAATTCTAATGGACCACGAATGTATATCACCCTGTATATACATATATATATATATATATATATATATATATATATGTGTGTTCAGAAAATAACGGGAATTGTTAAATTTCGCGGGTTCGAGGGTCCGGTTGTCATAAAATTTTCTTTATTATATTGGTATAAAAACTTAAGCTGTTTTCATTGTTTACTTTGTCTGTGACAGCCGCTAAGGTTAGACGAGTTTTATAAGCTCGGCGATTTTTCGTTCGTTAAAAGAAATGGATCAAAGAATTTGTATCCAATTTTGCTTAAAAAATGAAATAAATTCTGTGAAATGTTAACAAAGGCCTATAGTGAGTTTGCTATAAGTAAAACAAGAGTTTACAAGTGGTATAAGAGTTTCCAAGATGGTCGTGAAGACATTGAAGATGACGAACGCCCCGAACGCACAAGCACATTAACAACCGATAAAAACATGGAAAAAAACGAAAATTCCCGATATTTTCTGAACACACCTCGTATATATGATTTTGTAAGAAAATTCCTTTTTTATTTGTTTTTCTTCCACAGAGATAGTACACATAATCCATACCAGATATGCTATCATATAGCACATTAAGTTAATAATTAAATTAAATTACTAATTTGACCGGATCCGGCCGGATCGACAGGAATCCGGTCGGATCCGACCGGATTGAAATACCTACTCTCTAGAAATAAATTATTCAAAAATGACTAATTTAATAGGTATAAGTGGCTGCTTTTTATCACTTGTACCATGGTTAACAAGTGAAAAAGCAGCCACTAATAACTATTAAATTAGTAATTTTTGACTAATTCATTTTTAGAGAGTAGTTACTATAAACGCATAGTAATTACAAGCACACTATTTCGAGAAATATTTGCCCAAATAAAATCAGCTTTTGGGAGTCATTGGCTATTCCGCAAACAGCTACGATTCGATTCAAAAATACTTTTTATAAAAATAACTATTTCGGTACTTCTTCATTTTTTTAAAGATGTGATTTGAATCAATACACGGAAAAAACTAAATGTCACTATTTACTAGGATTTCTACTAATTTTTATTGTTTTAAATGTTAACGAGGAACCTTCCTCGGAATTTGTTACTTATTACAAAGTAAAAAGTTAAAATATATATAAGCGGTTCACTAAAATATATTATATTTAAAAATAAATAAAACAGTATTAAAATATAGTTTTTAACCTTTTAAATAATAAAATTCCCTATCTTGACAAGTATAATTTAAAGGAAGAGTACCTAACCAAAATGTGACAATGACTTTATTAAATATAAAATCTCAACCTTTAAATTTTAATATTTTAAACACTAAATATCCCCAAGTTCGATATATATAATTTCACATAAGCCAACATATTTTTTAAATTTTAACTATAATAAATATTTAAATCTGAATTTCAGTACCGTCTTGACACTCGAAGAGGTCGGATGCGTCAAGATCCCTCCTAAGTGGCGTATACGATACAAACGTAAAGTACCAAAAACGAAACAAAGTATCCGGAAATATCGGTAATCATTAATAAATAATAAATAAATACATAAATAAACAAACAAGTGCAAGAAGTGCGAAAATTGTGAGATAACGCCGTAAAAGTGTGCAAGTGAATAAGTACCTAATTGAGGCTAGGCAGCAACGATAAGTCAACCGGCGCACCTGGATCGGAGCGTTCCAAAAATATCCTTTTTCTATGCAAAAACCTGCAGGAGAAGGCCACCCCGCGAAAGACAAAGCATCAGGTTTATAGCCTAATGTAATGGTTTAACCGTAAATAAAGATATTATTATTAATAATCAAGCTAAGTAATTCTTCTAATTGCATGTCTTACCGTATAATCGTTAAATGTTTATATAAGCATTTCACAATGTTGCAAAAAAATCTAAGAATTCTATTCGTCTTAAAAATTAAATTTAAAAAAAAATAAGTAAGAAGGCAAAGATATAAATAAATGAAAACGGTATGAACACTAATATAGCAATAAAATAAATAAAGAATATACAAGGTTGGTAGCCGGAGTAAGCAAAAAACTAACATACCCACCCCCATTCACGAATACCAATTGAATGGGGATACTACTAAGGCCTAGGTTGAGGAGGATTCCGGATTGTACTTAGTTTTGGGTCAGTTCAATGTCCTCCAAAAACCCTTCCTAAACTGGACGTATGGCCCGACCCGGCTGACAAAAATCCCGGGAGCTGCCTTAACCTTTGACACTGTCATCCACGAACTCCTAGGGTGGATCTACCAGCCGGCGTAAAAACTTCGGATCCAACAAACACAGGTAATGCTGTGATTTGGCGGGATACGCAGGAGAACGGAAAGGGGGTAATATAACCCCGGGAGATCAGTGGATGACAATATATCTGGGGCTTGCCATACGTTCCCATACTCATACTCATACTCAATAAATATTTAAATCTGAATTTTAAATTTTATCGTTTCAAACAATAAAAATATACAACTCTACCGGTTAAATATTTACTTATAGAAATATAGTTGTTATTAACGTTCGGTTCTGCATTTTTTAAATACTAATAAATATTTTTTTATAATTTATTTTATGTATTATAACATATATTATTATAAATTTTAATAATTCAATAATTAAATTATGTTAAGTAAGATCAATAAATAATACAGTTTTTATAAATAGTAATTTTTATTTAAGAAAACCATAAAATCTATAAAATAAAAATAACAGTGGGATGAATTTTTTACCAATAGTTTATTACATAATAATTTCCATTGCATTGTTTGGCTATATATGAAATGCCATCAATTTCATCTAAAGAATAAAAACGAAGATTTTTACTATCAGGATCGACACAATATGCTTGGTAATGCGCATCGAAATAATAACAATCCAAATAATGGGAAACAAAATAAATTTTTTTGTTTTCATAAAATAAAATATATACAATTTCTGAAAAAGATGGACCAAATTCTGTTAAAACCATAATTATATCATGAGGATATACATTTCTTTCTAAGCAGTACGCATATTTTAAAGACACAATTTTTTCACATTTAATTTCAGTCGGTATTAATCAAACAAATTCTAAAAGATTATTCAATTTATTAATTGATTGTTAATGTATAGGACCAGGATCGGGTAGGCATTTTGAGACGGCTTTAGTGCATAATTTATGGTGTAGAGTTAACTGATTTTTTATTGCT